AATTTTAAAGCTTTATTGATAGTAAATTTAGTGATTGAAAGTTTAGTAATTTAAGTCATTCTAACTATTTTTTGTTTTGAATGGATTGTTGTCATTTTTTTCATATTTTAAATGAATTGTTTCTTTTATTTTTGTGTATGGTTAATAACCGAATAATCGAACCAAACCAAACCGAAACCGATAATCACCAAACCGATAAATGTATATTGTATTTGGTTTGGTTTGGTTTTGATAATTTTAAAACCGATTAAGTTGGTTTGGTTTTTATTTTGACCAATAACCGATCCAAACTAACCCGTGAACACCCCTACTACATACCGTTTACGATAGTTTGGGGTATATTTATCCCTTTTCCCATTAATTAATTATCTTTATAATGTTTAAAATTAAGGAGTCCTAAAATATATAGTAAGAGGAAAATATGACGAGAGGTATTAGGAGAATCAATAATTAATTTAGTCCTAAAATATATGGCAAAAGAAAATATATTTAAAAAATGGAAAATGGACAAATATATCCTTGAACTATCATAAATGATATGTCAATACACTTCGTTATACTTTAAGGTCGTATATACCCTTACCTTCATTCTTGAAGTAAATGATTTACCCGATTTTATTTATTTATTACCCAAAAATTAGAAATCCACCCGACCCACAACCAAAATGGGTGGTGCCAAAACCACTAGTCATTTTCATTAAAAACCATCGCTCTATTCTTCTCAACCCACCATGACCATGGAATCAATAACTCATCTTTGAAGAAAGAAGATGACTTGTTCACTAAAACTACTCTCTTCTTCACTTTCACTTCAAACTTGGTATCTTCCCCATTCCATTCAGCTTCAACATGTAACATTCCCATCAAATTCTGTCAACTTGGTGTCTTTCGAATTATTTAAATCTGTAAACTTTATGCTTGCTTACAAATAAAAAGAAAACTTTAAATCTGTAGACTTTATGCTTGCTTACAAAAAAAATAAAATTTCATCTTCATTTAGTTTAGTAGGAATCTAAGTTATTGGGTGTTTCGTAAATTATCTATTTCAAGAATATTTTCAATCCCTTTCAACAATAACAAATCGATTTGAGCTTGAAATTTTTTATTTTATTGTAGACCCACTTTAAAGTTTGAAGTTTTGTCCATCAATGGTGTAGTATTTCTCAACTTCTTTCAACAATAAACAAATAGATTTGAGCTTGAAAATTTCGATTAGATTATAGACCCACTTTAAAGCCTGAAATTTTGTCCATCAATGATGATAGTATTTTCTCAACCCCTTTTAATAACAATAAATCAATTTGAGTTCGAAATTTTCGATTTGATTGTAGACCCATTTTTAAGCTCGAAGCTTTGTCCATCAATGGTGATATTGTTTCCAACCCCTTTCAACAATAATAAATTGATTTGAACAAAAAAAATGATTTCTTGATTTTGATTGAAATAATATGCTTCTGTGTTTTTGTTTGTGAGATTTGGAGATTGGTGCCAATGAAAATGAATTGAAGAACATTTTCCTTTTATTTGATATTTAGTGGAGATGAACAACTATGCTTTTTATTTTTAATTTTAAATGTCATGGTATTTTAATTTGGGTCATGGGTGGGTAAATTATGAAAAATGGGTGGGTTTTCAATTTTTTGGATAAATAAAATCAGGTAAATTATTTAGATGATGTCATGTGTCAATCTGTTAGTCTTAAGGGTATAAACGATCCAAAATATTGACAGTAAGGGTATATACAATCTTAAAGTATAACGGAAGGTATTAACATATCATTTATGATAGTTCAGGAGTATATTTGTCCTTTTTGAATTTAAGGTTACTATATTTATTTGTAATTTTTTGGCGTTAATTTTATATATTTTTTCATATTTTTTATTAATCAATTACTCATTTTCGGGATTTGCCAAAAAAATTAAAAAAATTATTGAAATTGTTGAATTTAAGGTTACAATATTTATCTGTGAAGTTTTGGCGTTAATTTTATTTTTTTCTATATTTTTCCTATTTTTATTAATCAATTACTCATTTTCGGGATTTATCAAAAAAAATAAAAATTTAAACAAAATTGTTGAAAACGTGTCGGGTAGTTTATTTAAAAGGGGGGTTGATTTATGGGTCGGATTAGGTGTTTATGAGTTCAATTTTTTTAGGGGCATAATTGATCCCTTTCCATTTTCATATAAATGTCATGTGGTAAAATCAAAACGACATGACAATTCCATGTGACATTTAAAGAAATGAAAAATGAGCTGGATATGTCCAGCAGACCAACTAACGCCCATAAGGGCATATCTAGATGAAAAGTTGGACAACAATGGCACGAGTGAGCCAAACTTTAAACGGAGGGTATATCTAGATCTTTTCGAATAATTTAGTTGCATATTTGACCCTTTACCCTTATTATTATAGTTAGGTTCATATATTCAATTATTTTTGGGACAACTTATATTGGGAAAACAAAAGAATGTAAAATTTAAAAATAAACATAAAAGAGAACAAAAGAGAGAATTAACTACGCAAAAAAAATTCAAAATAATGACACATACAAATTCCTATTTCTTTTAATTTTGCTTGGCTGAAACACAAAAATATTAAAAAGTATATTTCACATTTTAAATAAATATTACATTCAATATAACAAATTCGTAAGAATAAAGAGTCACAGTAATTAAGAGGATTAATAATGTGGCTTTGGACTTGTTTGTAACATAATAGGAGTAATATTTGTACACTATTACACTAATAAAGAACATTAAGAAAATGAAAAGACAATCAAATTAGAATTATTGAGACAAATATTTTATTATACGAGTAAATAGAAAGCAAGGAAGCCAACTATATTTTTAAAATTATAAATTAATCGCAATTTTGAAATAACTTGAGAACTCCTAGAAAACAACAAATATGAAAAATATAAATAATGCAACTTGACTTATTAATAAACAACTTGAAATCTCCTAGAAAACAACAAAAATGGAAAATTTAAAGATTGCAATTTTACACATTAATAAATAATTTGTTTTTAATAAAACAAATTGTATTTTCAAAATTATAAATTAACTTTACATTCTCATGTTTTATCATTTTTGTTAATAAAAATACTCATTTTCTGCTTCTATGTTTTAAAATATTATACCCCACAAACACAATAAACTAATATTATCAATAAAAAAGTGAGAGATGAATTTACCTGAACAAACAATTTTTTTTTGAAGAGTGTTAACATTATAATATAATCAAATTATCTAAGAATTACATAGAGGTTTAAAGAGAATAAATTAATTTTTTTTAAAAAAAAAACTCAGGATTTATATCTTCACAAACACAAACAAATAATATTAAATGTATGATTTCAACAAAGAAAGAGTTGTAATAATATTAGACATATCAACTTATTTTACCTTGTAAAATCAAATTATGCAAGAATGTCTAACCATTTTTATTATAGATATATCTCCTATAATCTTCAAAATATGACTAAATAAGTTAAAAAATTATCTAGCAAAAGAAGAAAAAGATAAAGAATAAGGAGAAAATTGCATTTAATCATAAATCCTCCTGCACATATAATTATTTTTGACAAAACATAAATAATTCAAAAGGAAATAATACAATAGAAACATTATTTCTTAAGCACCTAAAAAAATAAAGAATAATCAATATATATAGCTCAAAATCCATTAATCTCCATCTCTAGATGATTTCATTTCATCCTATATACAAGAGTCAAGAAAAATAATAACAAATAGATTATTAGTCCTAAAATGAATTTCAAATATAACAAAACAAAATAATTTATCTAGAAGAAACAAAAATATGCTTTGACATATTAGCCTTACTTGCTAATTAAAAGTAATATATGAAATCATAATTGGAAAAGATAATGCACCTCAAAGCTTACAAATATTGTAACATGTTTGCCACTAATTCTCTAACCAAAGATGACTACAAAATAACAAACAATTTTAGTGTGATTTTATAGTGTTAATATAACCTTCCCCATTAAATAATTAGAGGTTATGAATATGAAAGACTTGAGAGGTTATGATTATGAAAGGTTTGGAAGTTATGAATATTATTAATACTAATTTAAGATAGAATTGATATAATTGAAGAGGTATAAGTTAAGAAGATGATTTTTCAAGAAAAAAATAATTGAAAGAAATAAGAAAAAATGTCAAAAAAAAAGAGAAAAATAAATAAATATGAATGGAGGTCATAGAGATGTGCCACATCACCTTCTCTATGTTCCTCCTTTATATATA